ACGACCTTTTTCATAAGCGCTTGTTAGCAGTAATAGCTACTAGAATGATAATCCAAACTGAAATCCTTATTGGTTAATGTGATTTAAATTATCTGCAACCCCGTTTTGAAGATGGATTTAAAATCTGAAAGGTTGTTTGATCAGTGCTTATGTTTTTTTTAACATCACCAGTGCGAGTTATGTAGTACCAGCTGAAAGGTTGTTTGATCAGTGCTTATGTTCTTTTTTAACATCACCAGTGCGAGTTATGTAGTACCAGCTAGAAAGGTTGTTTGATCAGTGCTTATGTTTTTTTTAACATCACCAGTGCGAGTTATGTAGTACCAGCTGAAAGGTTGTTTGATCAGTGCTTATGTTTTTTGAACATCACCAGTGCGAGTTATGTAGTACCAGTAGAAAGGTTGTTTGATCAGTGCTTATGTTTTTTTAATATCACCAGTGCGAGTTATATAGTACCAGCTGAAAGGTTGTTTGATCAGTGCTTGTGTTTTTTTTAACATCACCAGTGCGAGTTATGTAGTACCAGCTTAAATTTTCATAACGAACACAACTTGTAATGTAATTCTATGATTATTTTTCAAAGTTTAAGAAGTTTTGAGCTGGAATGAAAAGTGTAGCTCTTAGCTGGTTTTGTAAGTTAAGATATTCTAACTTGTACCTTTTTTTTTTTTCAATGTGTAGATGTTTAGAATTCCGCCACCCAAATACAATGAAATTGAGACCGTTCATCCATTTTTCAATCCGGTTCGGTTATACAATAGTTTAGACAACCTAAGATCACCTTCAGACGTTCCTCAAATAGATGACATTGGGATTAGTATCACAAGGACAGAAATAGATGATTCTATAGCAACCACCACTATCCAAGATATCACTTTAGATATAAGTAACCATGAAGAATACTTAGCAACGAGTAGAGTTTCGACAGAATCATCTCCATCAGCATTATCACAAGAGTCAGAAGCTGGATACCAGATTTATTCCAATCCTGCTCCGACTATCGTAAGCGATACTAGTTATACGATTGCCAAAAGTGAACTAGATGCTATGCTACTGCCATCTACCAGCGGGAAAGGATACTACGATAATCCTACATTTCACAGAGAATAGTATTGAATGGCGTAATAAAAAAAACTGAAGAAACTTATTACAGTGTGTAAACCTGTGACTGTTTGTGCCTTAATACGCAGAATGTATTTTAATTTGACCTTCAAATTTATTTTAATTTGACCATCAGAATTTTGTGCGTGCGTGTGTTTTTAAGGAGAAGTGTATCATCCTTTCCTTTTTTTATGAATTCATTTTTTATAATTAAAAGTTTATATATTTTAAAACATTTCACTGTTCATTTGTGACTTAATATTACTTGGACACTTAGCAACCCATGTAGACGGAGGGGATTTAGTTTCATTAGAATTTTAGGTAATGCAAAACGAATAGTAAAAAAAAAAATTGTGTAACTCGAAAACGTAACAACCAATCGAAAGTTGTATCACGTAGTGATAAAAATTATGTCCACCATTTGCGCAAGTATAGGTAATAAATGATACAACAGAGAATGCGGTGTAACATTCTATTGGTTGCATGAACACCTCAAACGGGAATCAACTTTTTCCTTAAGTGGTATGATAAATCATTGAGTTGTGAATCTAATTATAGAATAAGACCTGTGCGCTGGAATTACAAAAAGATAAAAAAAAAGAAGCAAAACTTGACAAATAACACTTTTGTTTAGTTCCATGGCATTTCATTTTGTTTATAAATACGAGAAAATAACAACAACAACAACAACAACAACAAAAAAGAAATGAAAATGTATAATTTAGAATAGTTCGTCATGAGGCACGTGCACTGTTTCATTCGTACCGTTTGTGGATCAACAATGTAGTCAAGTTTACAAACATAGTGTAATTGAAATTAATATTAGATAGAACTTCGAGAAAAAGGTTCAGTGACTTTAATAATCTAAATCATTTAATTTCCTTCGTTTTAAAGAATATTTTAAAGATCAAGTGAATTATCTATGCAAATAAAGGCTGTGTTCACTTAGTATAAAAATATTCAAACTTTTTATCGAAACTTGTGTTCAGTGAAGATCGCAGAGCCTTTATTGCCCTGATGTCTAGTTTATAACAGTTGTTGTTTAAGTAATTGAGGATGTAAATAGCTTCTCGACCTGATGAGCCCTGGTATTGAACGAAATCCCTCGTCGGCAATGGATATAGCATATATACTGTAGTTGTCGTATTATTTCATATTCTTTGCTTTTACTCGTAAGATCGTAGTCTTACGACAGCGGAAGTCACGTGACGCTGGTAACACGTGATGAGTTTCTAGAAGGATCGGGGAACATCACGAATAATCCAGTATTTGCAAGGCGCCCTCTATTTTGTATATATAAGACCGGCAAGAAGTGACGGCATCGAGAATTGCAGACAGACAGAGACGGACAATTGAGTCAAGCGCGGTAGTGACCGTAAGTAAAATGCGTGAATCGTTGTGAATTATAGCGTGTGTTTAAGTTAAAGTGACTGTGGAAATTCTGTGTATTGCAAAGTTGTATTGAGAAAGAATAAACTAGTTTTATTTAAGAAAGGACTTGTATCGCTGAAGTTTTTCGGAAAGAATTTCTCTGGAAAATTAACCAACGACCAGAGACGTAACAATAGAATCCTAAGAGTTAAGCTGGTTAGTCTACGTCTAATCGAGACAGCAAAGCTTTAGTCTCATCAAATAACGTCTTACGTACCACACATTTACAAGATAGTCACGAAAGGTTAAGAATGTAGTAGTTATATCTGTCATTAACAATCTTACTGCCGTGGGCATATAAGTGCCCTCCTTTAGACTACTGGGAGGTGTGTTTGGAATTTTCTACCATCACTTCAAACTCCCCAGAGTTTCAAGTTTCAGGTAAGTAATGAAATATCAAATAATGTGTTTGTTTTATTATTTATCTAAAATCAAACTGGCTCTGGGAAATGCGACACTAAAAAAGAAAAAGAAGAGACTTAAGCCTACTGCAAAGAAAGACCAACAAATACCTATAGGCTTTTAGTAGTGTCGTTCACTGACACCTGTTTGTCAAAACCCGAAGTTTATAATTATATCATATGTTTTTAATCATTTAACATTTTATTTCAACCGGAAAAAATCAGTAACAAGTTGTGAATCGAGTAAGATATTAGGCTTCATATTTTTAATATCCTAACAGTATGTCTACGACAATGGCGGACAAGCGACAGATAAACTAATCTTAGTAATAGTTTCGTTTTGAGTTTACTTATTGATTAAATATATTTCATTACCTGTGATCAAAACGTCGTACCTGTCCTAAAACAAATCTTATTCACTGTAAAAGCTGTAACTTGTAATAAAACAATCTTAGGGATGTTTCTAATCGTTCAAATATCTGTAACTCAGCATTGTTTGTTATTGTAAGTAACGTCTTCTGCGGGCGAAGCGTGACATATGATCGGTAGTCCGTGTGATATTACATTATAATAATACTGATAATAATTTACCGAAACCTTCATTTGCTGGCCTTGTACTACAGGTGTCCAATAAGAAGCAAAATAACATCTTGATCACATGTCATTGCCGATGAGGCCTTTCGTATAGTGCCAGAACTCATGTTATTGTGATGTAATATCACACGAACTACTCAAAATTTATACAGTAAATAAATCAAAACATTTGAAAAGGAGGAAATAAGAAATATTTATATGGTTATAAATAAGTCATTTTATTTTCAATGCATTTATTTTTGAAAGTTACACAGAGCGAAGTTCAAAATAAATTATCTAAATATAGATTTTTTCAGTTACATGTATTTCCTGAGTCAACAGTATTAAATAGTCAACTAAATTCGAAATAGTGGATTTCTTTTCCACCTACTCCATTGCCAAATAATCTAAAACTGGGAGCATTTTATTATTTTCTGTTAGCTTTTACCGAGATTTTCAGGGAAATCCCTATCCCTATCATAATTTTTATTAACACCAGATTCAGAGTAACAGGTCTTATAGCAGATTAAAGGTTCGGATAAGAAATTTCTTTTTTATATCAGGTGTTGTAGCCTTGCACGTTACATGAACAAAAATTGCAACCATCTCCGTGGTTTCTAGGCTCACGTCAGACCATTGGAATTCCAAAGGGCAAAGACTTTTTCTTACCTTTAGTCCGTTGTCTCAACTCTTCGACACAAATGGTGCAAACTTTGTGCGGAGCCCATGATTTGTCTTCGTCCCCAAGTAATACGCTTTTTTTGACGAATTCTGTAATCTTTTGCCTTTTTTTTTTTCTTTACAAGTTTATCACAAATATAACAAAATATGTTTGGGTCACTTACACAACCTCTTTTTGCCATAGCGACGAATAACTAATATTGAAGAGAAAAAAAATGTCAAAGAGCACGCACAAACATACTATCCAGAAATGACACGTCATGCGGCCTATTAACTGTTTATATACTATCGGTGTGTTTCTCGTGGGTTCTAGAACGACCAATAAGACTTTCACGTCGCGATTGGTCTAGAGAAATTCATGACCAGCGATTGTCAACATTATAAGTATAACAAAATGTTACCTGATTTCAATGAAAAGTATTCACTTATATAAAAATACATATGACGTTTTATGAAAAATCTGTACGTGATGGACAAAAATGGATATCATTTTCGGATTCAGCGTACATGAATTACTGTGGAACATGTAAACATTTCAAGACAATAAAACCATCGCAGACCTGTTTAGTTAGGCTTAGTCGATCGTCACAACCTTACAATAAGTTATAATATTTTGTAATACACCATATAGTAATTTTAATGTTTGTACCATTTAAAGTAGTGATATTATTTAAATACGTTTATTATATTAAATTATTAACAGAAAGCAACACAGAAAAAGAAGAATTCAAAATTTTAGCGTTTTTATGGTGTAAATTCGTTTTTTCTCCCATATTAACATTTACTTAATGTTATTTTAAACGATCCATAAAGTATTCAGGAATACGAACACGTGTATCCAATTCTATTTTTCAAGATGGCGAGACAGTGGATGTTGGTTACTGTATGGCTTTTACTTTGTGTAAACGTCTCTCTCCAAGGTATGTGTAAAGTTGATAAGTCAAGATTCCTCTTCTTTAAATATTTTAATTATTTCATCATGGAAATAGTTTTTTAAATTACACGTGTCTCTGTAATACAAAATATTTTGCATTCGAAATAGCGTTACAGCTAATAGTAAGTTCTAGTTGTACTACTACTGCCAATGTTAGATGGTCCCTAAGTGCATTTGGACACGTGTACATTGTGGTTGAATTCAAACAATTAGTTGTGTGTGAATAACGGACTTGTTTAATCTATACCATAATTTTATTAATCAGTTATATAAGTTAATTTCCCAAATTAAATATCGTTATGAAACAATAATCACTTATTTTATAAGTAAGCCATTTAAATAATGGACAATGTTACCGGGTTTTAGCACGTTATAAAGTAATGCTTTGAAATAATACATTTATGTTATGTGATTAATATATTTTCCTCTCTGGATAATCAAGCATTAGAATTAGCAGGATAAAACTGGTGGCTACAGTAAAACTTAACCCAAAACTTATTAAACAAACACAAGTGCTAAGTTTCTTTAAATTCAGTTAACATTCAAAAAAATTTTTTTAATTCCTGCGTGGCTAAAGATCTGTCTGTGCTACCACCTATGTTCTTTTGCAATAATTGAGTACTTCTACAGTTTATTTGGTCTGTTTCAGAATAATCACACAAACCTTGCATAAAACATGAACTATTTTATTTCAGATGAAACTTGTAGTAGCCCCAGTGTGACATCCAACATGTATACTACTACTGATGGTATGATTGTGTCTGATGTTGCGTTTATAGTAGAGCTTAGTGTCACATGCCAGAATGGAGCAAAGGTAATACAACTACAAGAGTTGAGATACATGTCTGTGTAACAAGTATTTTATACAAGACATCTAGATTGTCTTGATTAATGCCTTCATTGCAGTTACTAGGACATCAGTATGGTTTTTATTTATAGTTTTATAGACATTCTCCATTATATTGTAAGTTAGATTATCTTGATGTTCTCTTCAGGATTTTACACCCAGTAAAAATTAAATGTTTCATGAAATGAATTGTTAATGTATATTCTCTAGGCTAATGAAATGTCTCAAAATTGCTTGTTTCAAGTCTTTTAGGGCTACGTATGTTTTGGCTAGATAACTTCAGTAATTGAGGAATGTTTAATGTTTTTGATACTTGAAGTAGTGTTAATTCTAACACTACAGTATGTGCTTTAGCATATTTTACTCTTTTTTTTTTACTTGGTTTTTAAAATGTAATCGCTACAGGTCACAAACAGAAAATTGTACTTGGAATTGTTCATTGATAAAATGTTTTATGAACACTAGTGAAATAACACAAAAAATCAATTTAGATAAATGAACATGGTTAAGTTTAAAAATAGAAGAGTAACTAGAATTGGACAAATTACAAGCTAGCTTGAGAAGTATAAATCACATAACTTAAAAATGAGTGATTTTCAAACTAAATCATATCAGACAAATTGTAAAATTTTAACAGTTACTTAATTTAAGGTGTATACTTTACAAATATAATTAGAAATCTGGCATTTAAAATTTGTTTCTTAAAACTTAAGATTCATTTTAGAAGTGTCTGTTACAGGGTTCAGAAACTAGAAGATACACTCAATGTTTGACATAGGACTACTTTTTAAATAGGATTCAGAAAATTGTATGTCCTTGAATTAACTTGTTAACAGAAAGCATGCTTCAGTGTTTGGTTGTGTGTAGATTCATTGATTAATATTAATTAATTGCTTTTGTCAGGACTTATCTCTGTATGCTGTTATTAACGGTGTAACAGTTCCAGTTGTGAAGTCCCTGGATAATAACAAGTACCAGGTAACGGTCTTTATTCCTTGTATTAAGTAAACCGTAGTTACATGTTTCAACAACCAAGTTACTGTAATCCACTTGTAATAAAAAACTGGAATGTTAGTTGAACAACTGCCTTTGTAGTAGTAAGAATCAGTGATTGAATTCTTAAATATTTCCATTAAAAATAATTCTTAAAAGATACAATTACTAGACAGGCTAGAATAAACCATGTGGCTTAAATGAAGGATTTAATGTATAAGTAGATGTTGAATACTTGCTGTCTGTAGGG